CTGCCTGTTCATTGTGCCTGGACTCCGTCCTGCCCCCTTCCTGGGGCAGATTCTGGCCCAGCCTGCCTTGGCGAAGAGCATTACGGTAGCAGAGGATGACCCTACAGCTCATTGCTGTGGAGTTGGCCCGGCCCCCTGCAGCCCCGAGAGCCCCTCCCGGCCACGCTGGCCCAGGTGGGCCCGTAGGTGGTTCTGCCCCCAAGTCAGGCGCGCAGACACTTAATCCACATTTGCAAAACGGGGAGCCTGACCCATTCGCCACTGGGGGGCTGGGAAGGGGTGTTTTCCGAAAAGGCGGACTGGTTACTGAACCTGCAGGCACTTAAAAAAAAAAACGCACTTTCCCCCCATTGGAAATGCACACCTTTCTCACATCGGTGGGAAGAAAGCATACGTGACTGCTGAGCTTCAGGCGGTGTTCAGATCGTTTGGACAGGCAGGGAAACCTCGTCTGCTCCCGTTCCTAAATGCCTCACGGTTCCCCTTCTTACGCTGCTTTGCACTTTAAACCAGCCACCCGGTTGGAGAAGGAGGAGGAAGCGCCTTCGAACTCCCGGCAGTTCTTCCTCCTTTCCCTCCCACTCGGAACAGCGCCCGTCCCGTCCCGGCAAACTTGAACCCTCCCTTGCAGCCCTCCCTGGTGCCCCTCGCGGCCGCTCCTGGAGGGGTGCAGGGCCGGCGCTGCCCTCGGCGGTGGTCCATGCGCCCCGCGTCCGCCGGCGCGCATCTGGCCGCCACGGCCCGGCGGGGACTCGCTGGAGAGCCGCACGGATGTTGACATTTGCGGCAGATGTGGCTCCTTCCCCAGCTACAGAGCAGCCAATCGGCGGCCGCCGGAGCCCGCGCGCTGGAAGCGCTGCATGCATGCGCCTGGCGAGAGGCGCACGGAGAGGCGGGCTGGGCAGGGCGGTGCGGAGGTGGAGGCAGAGGCAGAGGCGGGCGGGAGGCCTGCCTGGCGTGGCTGGGACACGCTCGCTCGCTCGCTCGCTCGCTCGCTGGCCGCCCCGCTCTCGCTCTTGGCTGCTCCGCGTCCGGGCCCAGCCGGGGGGCGGTGCGATGCGGGACCTCCCTGCTGGTGAGGCCTGGGGAGTGGGAGCGGCGGCAGCGGAGGAGGAGGAGGGTGAGGAAGGAGCCCCCCTGCTTTGGGAAGTGTGGGGGAGGGGACCCTCTGGCGCTTCGCCCCCTCCCAGGCGGTTGCGGGCACCGCCTGCCCCGGGCACTGCTCGGCCGGTGGTGAGAGCGGCTTCTGCCCCGCGATCCGACACGCCCCGAGGCACCAGCTCTGCGTGGACTGGGGGGCACCCCCACTTGCTTGCCGGATTGTCGGGGCAGGTGCCCCCGTGGGGGGTTAAACCCAAGGCCGTCGGCCTTCCAAGCGGGGCCTCACCCCGGGGCCACCGTCCATTCCCGGTGCTTGCCTTCAGCCCGTCAGGACCCTGCCTCTGGCCTGTGGTTTCCTCATTGCCAGCGTTTAAACTGCAGCCTCCTTGGGGCAGAGGCCTGTTGGCCTGTGCTGCAGCGCAGGCCCCTGAGTGCGGATAGCTAGGGAAAGCCGAGACAGTTGCTCGTGGGGCTTTGCTCGTACTTTATCCCAAACGGCACACATGGAACCCAACCAAGGGTGTTTCCATCCCCGTCTCCCGTGGCTCCGTTTCCTTTTTTCTTCTGCTGCCGCTTCGGCTGCTCTGGTTTCTCCATGAGGCTGGGAATCCCTCACTCTCCGCCCAACCAACCCTGCAGGGTTGTGCTGTTTTTGTGAGGAAAACACGGCCCAGAGTAAGCTGCCTTGCAATCTATGTAAGGGGAAAAAGACAGGGTATAAATGCGACATAGTAATAATTTCCCCCAAACATTTTAGAGGCCTAAGTCTGGGTTATTATGGTTATTATATTCCTGTGCTATCTATTGTTTTGCATTATATTATATTTCATCGTTTACCTGTTTGGATGACATTTTCTATTTTAGCTGTGCATTAAAATGGCATTTTGTGTTTTAACTGATTGCCCTGCACGAGGCCGGTTATTGGTGGATCAGAAATGTGCTAAAAAGAGCTCTGATATCATGCATGCGTGCAGAGATCTAATTCTTTTTCATTCCTTTATGTCGTTATTAACTGATTAGTCCAAAAGCCTTCTGGAGAGGCTTCCATGCGGTCCGTGAAAGGGACGGTTTCTACCCGCAGGTTTCCAATCTAATAAAGTGAAGAGGAAACCCTTAAGCAGTCTTTCAGCAAGGCTGCTCAAAGGGCCCAGCATCCCAAGCTCAACCTCCGTCTCATGTCATGCAGGGTGGGTAGAAGGAGGTTTTCCAGACTGTCGTCCTTTGAAGCCCTCCCCGCATGCCCGGTGGCCGGGAGCTCTGGGGAAGGTGGTCCAGAATAGCCGGAGACCCGTCTTTTGGCCCCGTGCTTCCGAGCGCCACACTGAGCTAGGGCGGTGGGATCGTCTGGGCCGTGAAGCAGTGGCGGGGTGGTCCCCCTGCCCTGGGCCCTCATGCGCCCTCAGAGCTGCGCACGAGTGCACCGTCCCCCGGGCAGTGCGGTCTTTCGGCGACCTCGGGTGCGGCACCGGAGCCCCGTTCAGCCTGCAAGCGGCTCGCGTGAGCCCTTCCCTCAAGTGGGAGCAAGACGAGGAGAGGCGGGTGCCGCGGAGCCTGCCCCGGCTCTGCCCGAACTCCTCGGGGAGTTCTCCTTTGATTCCTGCCCGCCCGGACTTTTCTTGTTTTGAATGCTCTTCCGAAACAGGCCGGGACATCAACAATGCCGAGTCTTTCCCACCGCTGGGTCGCAGCGGCTTCTGGTTCTTCCCGGCATTGTCCCGAGGAGCGAGAAGGGAGGGGCTGTCTGGGCCGGCTTCCTCTCCTCGGGGAGCACAGCCTGGCTGCCTCCCCCCCGCCCTGGTTTTGCTCTCCGAGGTCTTCCTCAGGTCCAAGGACCACGAGCTCCGGATTGGAACGGGCTTTTGGGCAGGGCCTCCTAATCGTGGGCCCCGACGAAGGTGTGCCGGCGGTGCTCATCTGCTGCTGCGTGGGCCTCCTCCGTGGCGGCTGCGTCCCTCCAGGCTCCCGGGCGGAGGCCGGCTTCCCAGGGCAGCCCCACAGGCTTTGAGGAGCAGAGCGGGGCGTCAAGGGCCATCTGCCCTCTTCCCATTTAGAGCAGGGAAGGGGGAGATTTTTCTGCCCCGGGGGGCATTGCCTCCTTCCTGCCTCCCCTTTTCTCCCTGCCTGCCCTTTCTCTCCCTCTCCTCTCTTTGCCCTCCTCACCTTGCCTCTCCTGTCTCTCTGCTGGCCTTCCCTTTTCCCTCCCCAGCTCTGGGTCACACTGCGCCCTTCTCTCGGCCTTGCTCCGTCCAGGGGCTCCCGGTTGCCCACCTGGTCCGAGAGGTGTCGTTTCTGCACGGGAGGTGCCGATCTCCCCCCCCCCCCCCGGTGCGCCGACTCCTTTGCCAGCTCCGGGTTCTGGGGCTGGGCCGGTGGCTCAGTGCTGCTCCCCACGCAGTGCCCCCCCTTTATCTGATAAGCGCCGTCCCACGTACAGTGACTGGCCAGATATTGGCTTCGGCGACTCCCTTGTTTGCAGTATTGACCCGGTCGTGTCTTTTGCTTAGTTTAACTGTTGTCCTTGTGCATGTTTCTTGGTGGTTTTATAGAATGAAACACCAAAATATTTAGGGTTAAGAGGGTGGCAATCCTGTGGCCCTCTGGACAGCACCCGGGGGCCCCGGGGGGCTTTGGGGGCCCAGGTGCCATGGCAGGAGCAGAGCTGGGACGGGGCCCGGAGGGGGTGGCAGGGGGTGTGGAGGAGAGGAGGTGGAGCAGGCGGCCCCGGGGGGCTGGGGGCCCAACAGCCCTTTGGTTCTCGCCATGCGCTCGGAGGAGGGAGCAAGGCCCCCCGGAGTCGCCACCCGAGGAGGACTGCTCCCCTCGGCAGCAGCTCGCCTCGCTTCGCATGGTGCCCGGAGTGCTTCTGTGCAAGATCGAGCCGTGCCTCTTGGAACAAGCGGCAGATCTTAACCAGAGCGGAGGAGGGCAGCTCTGAGCATGTGCAGACGGCAGGGCAAGCGTGCCGACCGCTGAATCCACTGAAAAGAAAGCACCTCTTTCAGTTCCGCTTTTCTTTATGGGGAGAAGGAGGCAGAGGAGGGACGGGCCTGCAGGACGAGGCTCGCTGCCTGCGGAAATGCGTCGCCCTTTTCCAGCAGCCGGGGAAAACTGATTGGAAGCAGGTTTGGGGAAGGAAAACAACGAGCAAATGCCGAACACTGTGTGTGGTGAACTGGAAGAACTCGCTGCAGGAGGTGTGGCGAGAGCCCTCCGATTAAATGCTTCCAGAAAGGAATGGGGTGGATTAATGGAAGCAGGGCGGCAGGAGGTGCCTGGACCGCTGCCATGGGAAGTGAGCAGTCGGACGAGGCCTCTGTCCGGCCGAGCACGGCTCCTGTTCTTCCAGCCTGCCCTGCGGGAGGACGGGGGGGGGGGGTCCCTGGACCGCCTCTGGCCTTGCCCTTCGCAGTGGTAGGGGGCCGTGGCCTTTGTGATGTGGCTGCACAACAGCTCCCTTCCGCCCCGATGCAGTGTCCGGCTCCGACGTTCCCGCGGGAGCTGGGAGCCCCAGCCGCATCGGGGGCGAGCACCCGGCGTGTGTGGCTGGGCCAGAAGGACCAGAGCTGCCCCCGCTTTCCAGCTGCCAGCGCTGCCTGCCACCGCCTCGGCCCCTGCGGGCGGTGGCATTCGCAGCCCAAGCCAGGAAGCCGCGAGGCGGTGGGGGGCAGGGGGCCCCCGAGGGCCGCATTTGGCCCGCCTAGGGGCCCGATCCGGCGCATGGCTGAGAAGACTCTGGGGCGGGGCGGGGAGGCTCCCGGCAGCCCCCAAGCTGTGCCCTGCCCGGGATCCCCAGCCTGCTCTCCCCTCACCCCCCGCCCACGGGCACGCGGGGCGCCGGGCACTCTCCGGGGGCGCGGGCGGGAGTGCAGGGGCCGGGCTGACCTCCCTCTGCCTTCCAGATCCCAGCTGATGCCGAGGCTGAAGGAGTCGCGCTCGCACGAGTCCCTGCTCAGCCCCAGTAGTGCGGTGGAGGCGCTCGACCTCAGGATGGAGGAGGAGGTGGTGATCAAGCCCGTGCACAGCAGCATCCTGGGCCAGGACTTCTGCTTCGAGGTGAGCCCCTCCGGCAGGGCCGGGGCACCCCCACGCCTGGCTCCCGGCCCCTGGGTCCGAGCAGGGCTCCCCGCTGCTCGTCCCAAGCGGGCGCGCCGAGTCTCGTGCCTTTGCGCCGACGGGCAAACCGGAAACCCCGTCGGTCGGCCGGCCGGCCTTGGCGCCTCGCTGGATCTTGGCACAGGGGCTGAAAGCCTGCAGGGGCAGGAGGAGAAATCGCCCCGCACAGAAAGGGGCGCGCGTGCAGACAGGCAGGCGTCGGCGCAGAGCTGGCTAACAAGCGTCTCGTCTCGGGAAGAGCCCTTGCCCGTGTGAGCCACGGGTCTTTCAGCCCTTGATTAGGGTTAGGGTGGCTGTCCAGGTGGGGTCAGGGTAGGAAAAACAAGCTCCCCGTGATGCTGTTGGGGCGTTACGTGTGTTTCTAGTCCTTATGATGGAGGGGAAACCCACTCTGCACATGTTGGGACTACAGCCTGCCCTGCTGGCTGGGAGCTGTAGCCTGGAACGTCTGAGGGGCGCTCGGTTTCCGGATCGCGCCAGCACCCCCGGGTCTTAGGGTGGCGGGTTGGGAGGAAGTGTGGAGTGCTGGGAGGCTGGCCTGCGCCTCCGGTGCCTTAACGAGTGTGCTAAGCAGGGCTGCCTAAATGCACACAGAGCAGGAAAAGCGGAGCTCACTCAAGACGCAGAATCCGGGCCGGGCCGGGCCGGGCCTGGGCTGCCCCCTTTCCGGCCGGTGCCGGGCCAGCCTTGGCCTGCAGGGACTCTGTCCTGTGGCCCAGTCCTCTTCCTCACCGGCACCCAGCACGCAGTGTGACTGTTACACTTGAGTGGGGTGGGAGGAAGGTGAGCCTGGGCGTCTTCTCCGTGCCAGGGGCCGGACTGGGGCTCCCCGTTGTGGGGTTCAGTTGAGCGGCATTCCCAGCCTGAGGCTCCGTGGGAGAACGTGGCCGTTCCATGAAGAGGGTCCCAGGTGGAGTGCTGCCCCCTCCAGGGAGATGTGGGAAGCTCCTGCCCAAACCCCGGAGGGCTCTGTCGCTGCTAGTCCCCACTGAGGACCCGGGGCAAGAGGAGCCAAGAGGGGTCTGACCCAGGTGGGGCAGCTTCAGGTGTTCCTGCTCAGAGCAGCCCGACCCTCAGCACCATGAGGACTGGAATTGTGGAACGGAGGGTTCACCGGGAAAGGCTGCCCTGCACCGGAGACAGAACCTCCGTCTCCAGGAAGGGCTGAGATAGACCTGAGAGGGCTGCTGCCAGTCAGTGCCGGATGCCTCCAGAGAAATGCCACGTCTTAGGTTCCTGGTTAATCTAAACTGAGCTGCGGTTTTGGGGGCCCCACCTGCTCGATGGGGAGTGCTAAGCAAGCGCCAAGCAGACGGGGAGGCCGTCTTCCGGCCACCCCCACCTCCTGCCCCCCCGTGGGGGGGCACGTGCCTCCCAGTGCACAGTCTCCGCTGCCTCCCCCCCCCGCCATCCCCTCTCGGCTGTCCTTGCGAGAGGTTGGATGCGGCATAGCAAGAAGTAGGTCGAGCCTGCAGCGGCAGCGCCTGCCTTGCCCACCGGGAGAGCCCGTTCTCGGCAGCGAGCGCAAATTGCAGGATAATTTTGCCTGGCAGAAGAAGCCGCCCATCCATGGAACGTGGATAATGAGTGAAAACGAGTTACATTTGAGCAACTAATGATTCCACCCCCCCCCCACACACACGCCAATTTAATTTTGCTCCAGTAAATTAATACCTATATTTCCCCCTCCTGTATCTTTTTTTCAAACCCAGCTTTGATCCCACTTTTCTGGGGTTCCCTGTTCTGGGACTTCCCGCATTTGCAAAGAGTCCGGTGTTGCCATCAGAAGCAGAGGCATGGAAAAGGGGAACCGGGCCGGGCAGCTCCCTGCAAGCGAAACCCAGAGCTGCAGCGGGTGGTCATTTCGGGACACTGGTGCCCAAACCTCGGAGCTCCTTTGCTAAGGAGAAAGTCCCGGTGGCCGGGGACTTTGTGGCCGTGTGGCCAGTGCAGCCGGTCTCAGAGTTGGCCTGGCTGCAGAGGGCCCCTGAACCCGGTGCTCCGAAGCGGTTCGACACTGTGGACGGCCCCATGGGATTTCAGCCTGCACCTCCACGGAGCAGAACCGCCGTATCTTCATCTCCCTTTCGCAGCAGCAAGCCAGGAGAAACCCTGGTCCCCCATGATACCTCCTCGCCCCCGAAAAGGGGCCAGCCCCATGATACCTCCTCGCCCCCCATCGATTTCTTGAGAGGGCCGTCTCCAGACTGCATGGGGCGCCACTTGCACGAGGCACCGGGGACTTCCGAGCGCGGGTGACGGGGCAGAGCCCTTAGACATGTGCCAGTGGGAAACGCAGGGTCTTGTGAATCCAGCCTCGGGGAGGGTGTGGCTTGGAGGGGGGCTCGCCCACGTGGTGGGGCTTGGGCTGGGAGGGAGGGAGGGAGGGAGGGAGGGAGGGCCGGGTGCTTCGAGGCGTGGGACCCCTCCTTCCCCCGGAGCGCCTTATTCCTCCTGGCGCAGCAGGAACGCAAAGAGGGACAAGCTGGCGGAGCGTTGTCTGTCAGGGCAAGACACCCAAGACGGCCGCCCGCCGCCTCATTATGCACTTCTGAGGGCTGCGCACTCCTCTGTCGCATGCTGAGGAGTCCCCCCCGCCCCACACACACACACACTCCTTTAAAAGCCAAGGTGACATTTGCTCCTTGTGGGTGAACGAGAGAAGGTGGAAATGCGTCTCCCTCCATGTGCCGGTGCGCCATGGCCGCTCCAAGCACGCCTCGGCAAGCTGCCGGGTGCAGAAGGGCCGCCTTCCCCCTCCGGGGAAAGCGCAGCTGCTGTGCGCAAACCCATGGGCAGTGCCTCGTGTTGAGCCGCGGCTCCCATCATCCTGTGCTGGGAATGATGGGAGCATTCGTCCGGCAACTCTGGATGGCTCCACATAGCGGGAGATGTGACCTGAAGGAAAAGGGGTTGCGGCTGCTGCTGCGGCTGTTGCTGCTGTTGTTGTGTGCTGGCAAGTTGTCTCCAGCTTGCGGCAACCCCATGGACGGAAGCCTCCCACGGCATCCTGCCCACGGCAGCCCTGCTCAGCTGCGCGCGGCTTCCTTGGTGGAGTCAATCCAGGCGCAAGCCGTCGCCACACAACGCCTCGGGCCTCTCCAGGGCAGGCTGTATTTCTGGGCCGGCTGCCGGGGAATTCAGAAGGGAGCCGATCCTTCCCTGCTTCTCTGCCGAGCGTCTGAGACGCCTCCGGCTGGGTCCCTGCGGGATCTTGTCCATCTCGTCTCCTGGGGGCGCTCCCACCTCTTTCCGTGGGATCAGAAGCCCCCCTGGCCACTTTCAGGAAGGAGGAAGGCATGCCCAGAGGCCGGCAAAACGCCGCGCCATTGCTGGCCAGGGGGAAGGTACGTTGGGCGAGAGAACAGCAGGAGCCTCCCCTTGGGCAGCCTTGGCCCCTCGCGGGACGGGGACCCTCCTTGTCCAGGACCGGCTGCACTGCTGAGCCGCTCTTGCCACCCCTTTCTCGTCCCCTCCAGGTGACCACGTCGTCCGGCAGCAAATGCTTCTCCTGCCGGTCCGCCGCGGAGCGGGACAAGTGGATGGAGAACCTCCGCCGGGCCGTGCACCCGAACAAGGTAAGCATCCCCAGCAGCCGTGGCTGGGCCCTTCCGTGCACGTGGCACGTGGCTCCTCCTCCTGTGCCCACCAAGCTCGGGCGGGCGGGCGAGCCAGGAGCAGAAGGAAGGAAGGAGACGCAAGGGCCGCAGCGGAAGCACAATTTATGTGCGATCCGTTAACGATTCATTAAGGAGCTGGTGCTAAAACAACAAAGCACCTTCCCTCTTTAAAAAAATAAACGTAGGTGTATCATAGAAGGGAGCATAAATAATAAGGATAAAATAAGGCAGCCCGAGTAATGAGACATTATGGAGCAGCTTAAATATTAGAACATAAAATTGGGACGTGAATGAAACTGTCGGTTTCCAGCAGTTGCTTGAATGGACAAATTAACAGATAAGGTGTGCAACAAAAATTATTGTCTTCTACAGTCCAATTTTCTTAAAATGACAACCGATTATCCCTTTGTGGAATAATTATTTTGCATTTAGGTTGGATAATTAGGTATTTGGTTTTTGAAATTATGATAATGGCTGAAAACGATTCCCCCGGAATGAACACAGCTGTCGGCCTGTTCTTGTATGTGTTTACTTGGAAGTAAGTTCTGTTGGGATGGGTAGAGCTTATTCTCTCCAAAGTGGGCACGATTGTAGCCGAGCGACAGAAGCGGTGCCCGTCGGCTCAGCCCCCGGGGGGCCGCGTATCAGCCTGCATGCTTCAGCCAAGCCCCAGCAATATCATAAATTCCCCCTTTTACAAAGTGCGATGGGAATCACAGTGGGGAGCAGCTTGGGCAAGGCCGATCTGCATGTTCCGCTTCGACGTTTCACCAGATATTTTTAAAAATACTATTCGGCTTCCCGCCACCCCCAAATCTCCATGACATGGCTGAGACGCTGGGGGTTATGATGCTAATTAGAGGCAGGGAGAGAAAGTCTGCTGTGGGTGCTTTCGGGGAGTTGAAAGCAAGGTCAGCTGCAGCCGGTGGGCCCTTCTAGACCTGGCTTGCTCTTTAATACCAAACCAGCTCGCTCGCGTGCGTCCCTGGCCGTCCCCCCGCTGCCCCCGGCCTGCGGGATGGAGGCAGGGCATGGAGGTGCCCAGCGGAGGTGGCCCCTGGGATGCCGCTGTGGGATTACCGAGCAGAATGGCCGCCCACAGAGCCCCCAGACCCTGACCGCGTCCCTGCCGAGCCGCCTCCACCCCGTTCGCTCCGGCCGCTCTTCAGTGCCAGCCTGCCGGAGCCACCTGTGGGCTTGGCTCCTCCCCTTTGGACCTGCCCGGCGGCCTCTGGCTCCGCCCTCTGGCGTGTGGCCCCCCGGGGGGCGTGGCCTCGGCCCGCGGGCGGGAGAGGTCCCCCAGCCCTGCGTGAACAGTCTGTGGGGCGAGGGTCTTCCTTGCCGCATTGGAGCGATTCCCACCTTCTCGGTGGGTGGGGAAAGGCGGCTTCGCATCGTCGCTGGGCGGTTGGGCCACTTTTGGATGCTCAGCCTGGTTAAAAATGGTTCTCCCAGAAGGAATGCCAGCGTCAGCCCATCCTTCGCCTGGAAGTCGGCTCTGTTGGGGTGAGCGGAGCCTGAGTCAACACGCCTTGCGGCCGAGGGGCGGTGGGCACGTGGCCCCTGCCTCCCTGTGACACGATGGCTGTTCCCCGGGGCTTTTATGCCCCCCAAGGGGGCCGCACCTCTCCTGAACCCTCCCAGCGACATCCTGGGGGGAGAGGGGACCCTGCATCCCGCTGCAAAGGCCTGGTGGCGTTGGGGGAGGCCCCCTGGGGAGGAGGTGCTGGCGGAGCACACCCCCCACCCCCCGGAGCACCAGCCACCCTCGTCTCGGCTGGAGGCTTTTCTCCCTTGGTTTTCAGCTCCTCCAGCAGCCAAATTGGAAATTGTGCAATTTTTTTTAATGGGGGGTATTTTATCAGCCTCCTTTCTTCACGTAATTGGTGCCAGCGAGACAAGAAAGCACCACAATATTTGGAAAATGAACATAAGCGGGGGTTATTATGCAAATTCCCAAGAGCTGGTAATTTCCTTAAAGTAAAAAAATGTAATTAAGGATCGGTTTCTGTTCTGACGCCTTCCAATAATGAAGGCGCACACTCCTCCATCTTTCGTGCCGGGTAATTGCTTTTCTCCTCTGCCACCCACCCCGCAACCGTCTCCCCTCGACCTTTCCTGCGGCGCGGCGCCCGTCTCTCCTCGCTAGGACAACAGCCGGCGGGTGGAGAACATGCTGAAGCTGTGGATCATCGAGGCCAAAGACCTGCCGGCCAAGAAGAAGTACCTGTGCGAGCTCTGCCTGGACGAGGTCCTCTACGCCCGGACGACGTGCAAGTTGAAAACGGACAATGTCTTCTGGGGGGAGCACTTCGAGTTCAACAACCTCCCGTCGCTGCGCTGCATGACCATCCACCTGTACAAGGAGACGGACAAGAAGAAGAAGAAGGACAAGACCAACTTCATCGGGCTGGTCAGCATCCCGGCCGGCTCGGTCACGGGGCGGCAGTTCGTCGAGAAGTGGTACCCGGTGGTGACGCCCAACCCCAGCAAGGGCAAGGCGGGCGGCCCCATGATCCGCATCAAGGCGCGCTACCAGACCATGAGCATCCTGCCCATGGAGATGTACAAGGAGTTCGCCGAATACATCACCAACAGCTACATGGTGCTCTGCTCGGTGCTGGAGCCAGTGCTGAGCGTCAAGAACAAGGAGGAGATGGCCTCCGCGCTGGTCCACATCCTCCAGAGCACAGGGAAGGCCAAGGTAAGGGCCTCCGGGCCGAGGGACGGAAAGGGCCGGCCGCTCCGGCTCCTGGTTTGCTTCTGGGCCAGGGAGAGTCGTCGTCCAGCTTGTCTCTGGGCCCCACATTGCAGGAAACAGCGCGAGTCGGAAGGGGCCTCCCGGGCCATCTAGTCTGACCCCCGGCTCCGCTCGCGACACGCCCAGCATTTCTAGGAAGCTGTTCTAGAAAATGGCGCCAGGTAGAGAAGGTGGATTTGGCTGACGCTGCCCCATCGCGCCCCTTTCGGGTGGCTGAGCCCCCGCTTTGCGTGCCTCGGGTTCGTTTCGCGGCCGCTCCAGCACGAAACCTCGCGGGTGGAGGAGCCCAGGAAAGCGCCCCTCTGCCCGAGGGCTGGGAGCTGCCGCCAGCCGGGGCAGGTGCCTCACGCCAGGGCTCCTCGCCTCCCGCAGGTGATCGCTCGGCCGCGGCATCCAGCCGAAGGTGCAGGGCCGGCCCCTTGGCCTGGCGCGACCAGACTGCTCTGCTGCTCTCCCAGAGGCGGAAGCTGGGCAGGCGTGGATGCTGGCGGGCCCCTTCGCTTTCCTTTCCCTTTTGTGTCGCATCAGCTCGATGGCAAGGCTGCAGACAGTCACGGGGTTGTTGTTTGTAGTAATTCGCCGGGTCCCGCTGTGGATGCAAGGAGGGGCACACGGGAAGGAACGGTGCTGCACCCCAGCACCTGCTCTTGGCGGGCGCTTGGAACACGTCCCGCGTCCGACGGAGATTTACTGCTCGGCCTGCCTGGTCCGCCTTTGGAGTCCTGGCGATCAAACGCGTTGTCCATTAGAGCCTCAATTAGAGGAAAGGGGGGGGGGGGCGCAGGGGGGAGGAGGAGGAGGAGGAGAGACGACCATTATCTCGTCACTTATCGATGCTTTCTGCAACCAGCTTCGTTGCCAGTTCAGCTTTGCCGTGCTATGTTTCATCCAGGGACGGGTTCTTGGGCCGCGTCTCGGGCGGGGAGATGCGGGCGGGCCTGTTCGCCAAGGGGGCACACGGCTCCGTTGGCGCCCGGGTCGCAGCAGGGCCTGACGGAGAACTGGTGGCCCGGCGAGCCCACGGGCCTCTGTGCCGGACGCGGCGGGGCAGGGTCCCCGTCCGAGGTGGCCAAGGCGCGCAGGGCGGGAGCGTCCCGGAAGAGGCCCCGTCCAGCCTGGCTGAGCTAGAGGAAGGCCTCGCTCGGGCAAAGCTGAGTGTGGGAGCGGCTTGCCAGGGAGGGGAAAGCACTCTGCACGCGCACGGGGTCCCCTTGCAAAGCCCTCCCGCGGCTGTTGTACCCCATGCGACGGATCGGCAGCACAGTCATTGATGACGGAGGCCCAGCCCGGAGAGCGAGGTGCGTGTTCGCACGGCAGCTTTCGAGCCGGCACCTTGTGGGGCAGAGCGGTTTGAGGAGGTCGGAGCAGCCGTGGAGGGATGCTGCTCCCTGTTTTGTGGGTCCCGCGTCCCCACACCTGCAGGGAGGCCTCGGGCTGCCCCAGAATTGCCAGCGGCAGCCAAGGACCCCTGGGGCTACAGGCCAGAACCTCCGAGCGCGCCTGCCGTTTCGTGCCGGGCCAGGAGCGATCCGTGGCTGCGCAGTGGCTTCTCTTCTCTTCTCTTCTCTTCTCTTCTCTTCTCTTCTCTTCTCTTCTCTTCACCACCCAAAGAGGCCAGCTATCTGGGAACGCTTTTTATAAGTGCTATTAGTCCAGCTAATTATGACTTCAATCAGGTTTACGAGGCACCGGGAGCCCTCCCCTCCTCTCCGCGGTAATTACCTTGTTTGAAGAGGGGGCGATGCGCTGAGTGGCAGCCCTGGAGGCCTGGCCCCCCGCCCCCTCCCCCGCCCGGGGCCGCCTCGCACGCACTCGGGGGCAGTCTCTGAGCGCCCCCGGCGGGCCGCCTCGCCTCCTCCCAGCCACTGGTATTCAAGGAGCAGCGAAGCCTCTCCGCTCAAATGGGCAATTTGCGCAGCTGCCGTCCTCCGGGACTCGCGCAGCCTTCCCGCCTCCACCCCCCCCCCGTCTCATGCGCCGCTTCCCAGCCACAGGCCGGGGCCGCACCGGAGAGCTCCCGGGGGCCAGGGGGCCTGCCGCCTGCCCGGGATGCCGGGCTGCCCCCAGCAAGCAGCCCCGGGCCGGGCCAGGGGGCCTCGCAGGTCTGGTCCGGGGAGAACCATAGCGCGGCACGGAGCCAGAGCCCCGCTCACAGTCCACGCCCGCCACCGACGGCCACGCCGAAGGGATGCCCGCCGGCGCAGCCTCCACGCTCAGGGGCTCCCGACCCGTGGCCGCTGAGGTGCTCCACGGCTCGGCCACGCCGGGCTGCTCCCGCGCACCCAGCGCCGGCACCGTGTCCGTGCGCATTTCAATTCCGATCAGCCGCGCAGCCTGACAAAAGGTGCCGGTTCTCAATTAGCGGCGCCCGACCTTGGCGCTGCCTTGCGCTCTGCTCCTGTCATTTCCCCAACGTATTAATTATCTCGGGGACGTGGAGTTTTACAGCTTCTCCTCGAACCTGAGGTTTGGCCGGGCTTGTCAGACTTGACGAGAGAGAGGAGAAGCCTGGCCAGCGGGCGGGAGGGCCTTCCTCCGACGCGACGTCATGCTCGGAGGTGCTCGCCCGGGTTGATGGCGATCCGAGGGCTCGCGCAAGAGATCGGTGTCTTGGACGGGGGGTGATGGGGAGCGGCTGTTTACCAGCCCATAGATGCCGTGACGGGGAGAAGCTTCATCGGTTGAACTTCTGCCTGCTGTGCCATTTTGGGGTGGGGGGACTGGCCGTGCTTGCTGTGGCTGCTGAAAGTGTGGTCCAAAGCATCAGGGGGAGGCCACGGGGCAATAATGCCTGGGAAGCGCCGGAGCAGAAACGGTGATGCCACGCTTCCGGAGCGAACCGTCGAGGGTGGGAGAGCTGTGGTCATCGTGGGGGGTGAGGGGGGCACGTATTTGGGGGGTGCGTCGCAGGAGGGCAGTCAGAGTCCCTCTCTGCTCTTGTGGCCGTGTAAGGGGGGAGCTGAAGGCTGGAGGTCATAGGGGTCGGTGCGGTCTAGTGGTTAGAACATAGAATGGGTGCCCCCCCCCCACCAAAAGCCAAACCGTGGCCAGAGATGGGACATGCGCTCCATCGCCCCTTCAGGGGGGCTGCAGCCGTTGGACGGGCCCTCGTGCCTCAGCCGTGGCCAGCGGCCCGGCCCTGCAGCCCCGCCGGGGCTCCCCTCGCGGCGCCCGCCCTACCCTGTGGTCTCCCCCCCAGGATTTCCTGACAGACCTCATGATGTCCGAGGTGGACCGCTGTGGCGAAAACGAGCACCTCATCTTCCGGGAGAACACGCTGGCCACAAAAGCCATCGAGGAGTACCTGAAGCTGGTGGGGCAGAAGTACCTGCAGGACGCCCTGGGTAGGTGCGGGGGCAGCGCCTTGGTGGGCCGGTCGGACTGGCCCACGGCCGTCACCTCCCCCTGCGGCTGCGGCTGCTGGCGGTCCTGAGGGGCCCACGCACGGGCCCAGAGGGGAGCAGGCACCCTGGTTAGGTAACGCGGCACCTGGTATTCAAAGGTAGAGTGCCTCTTGACATGGAGGCTCCCGACTTAGCCGAGAGGACTGGCGCTCACAGAGGTCGGTACGGTCTAGTGGTTAGAGCATGGCATGGGGACTGGGCAGATCCGAGTTGCAGCCCCCATTTGGCCGTGAAGCTGGGGGCCGTCAGAGACTCCCAGCCTGCTCTTCCTCACAGGGTTGTCGTGAGACCCCGGGGAAAGGAGGGGGCCTGCGTATGCCCCCGCTGGGCTCCTGGATCAGCTGAGTCCCCGCAGGGGAGGCCTTGAGTGGGGCGCAGAGATGCCCCCCGGCAACCGGCACTTGGAGCTGGGCCTCGGCTGGCCTCCATGCGGCGCTTAGGAAATGCCCCCCCCCCCCAGCATTCCCCAGCTGGTTATCCTGCCTGGGCGTTCTGGGAACAGGAGGCGCTTTGTCCCCCTTTAATGCGCCCAGCCGTGCCCAGGGAGTCGCTGCCTTCTGCCCACCCCAGACTGGCTTCAGTCTGGCGCCCGGGGCTGCACTGCCCCATGCCGGCAGGCTTCCACTTGGCCGGGCCGCCCTGGTCTGTCCTGGCCACAGCGGACCGCCGAAGGCCCATGATCCACAGCAGAGAGAAATGGGGTTTAGTGCACGGGAAGGAGAAGCCGGAGACCGGCCGATGCCTTCCCCGCATGGAGAAATGCAGCATATCTGGGAGAGAGCCGGGCTGCACGAGGGCCGGCCAAGCCGCAGGCGGGGGCGCCGCCTGCCTTATTTTCGCCCCTCTGTGATGGTCGCCCCCTCCCCATGCAGCTGTCTTCTGAGATTTCAGAAGGCCACGTCCGCACACTTCCCAACATAGCTCTGCCGTCCTGAGGGCTAGCGACTCAGTGCGCCGGTGCGGGGCTCGGGAGCCAGACACGGCCGGTGCGTCCCTGGGGAAGCGATGCGCCGGGTGCAGCACTCACGGCGCGCTCCGGCCCCGCCGGGTTCTTGCAGGCGAGTTCATCAAGGCGCTGTATGAGTCCGACGAGAACTGCGAGGTGGATCCCAGCAAGTGCTCGTCCGCGGATCTCCCGGAGCATCAGAGCAACCTGAAGATGTGCTGCGAGCTGGCCTTCTGCAAGATCATCAACTCCTACTGGTGAGTCGCCACGGGGGCCGCGCAGGAGCCGGGTGCCCCGAGGGAGAGCACGGCCTGCGCCCCCGGGAAACCCGGCACGGGGGTCCCTCCGGGGGCAGCGGGGGCGCCAGCGCCCTGCCGAGCGCCTGTTGCGGCGGCTGCTATGCTCATTGCCACCGGGGGAGAGCAGGGCGGCTCAGAGGAGAGGGGGCGGTGTTGGGGGGGCTGCTCTGCACATGCTCAGGGCTCCTGGCCGCCGTCTCATTCCTCCGGCCTTAAGCCAGTCCCGGGAGGCACCAAGGATGAGCGGGGTTCTGTGTTACACACTGGATCGCCCCTTCCCCTGGCCAGCGATGTTCCCGATGGGTTGGACTGTCACTCCCATTATCCGCACCCAAGAGGTCTGTATTGGCTGTGAATAATGGGGCCTGCAGCCCAGTGTATCCAGAGGACTGGATAGGGAAAGCTGCATGGTTTCCCTTCTTGGAAGAAAGGATTTGCGCTGCCGCAGAGGCAGTCTAAAGATAGTCCGGGAAATTTCCCCAAGGGAAAAACAGCGGCTTGCCAAGCGCTGCAGGGACCGCCTGCTCCCCCACAGTGCCACCTCGATGCGGAGAGGGCTGGGATGGCCCGGCCCGGCCTCCATCAGCAAGCGCAGCGGGTTGGGTGATGGAGCCCAGAGTGGCAGGGGATCATGTACTGATGTATTAATGATGTCGTTTGAGGCTTGTCTGTGCTGTCCTCTGCAAGTGTCTTGGGACGGTTTTACGATAAAAACAACGCAAAATAAATTTGGGCACAGCCGCCAAACTCCCAATACGTAAAACCCACCTTAAAACGTATCAAACATTAAAAGAACGGGGAAATGAAAAGGGTTTTGCCTCGTGCCAAAGCAATCAAGCGTTGGCGCCAGGCGGACCTCTCCGGGGAGCGTCTTCCAGAGTCGGGGTGCCCCCGCAGAGAAGGCCCTGCTCCGGGGAGCGGCCACCCTCCCGGTCCCCCTCGAGGAGGCCGCCGGAGAAGGCCCTCCCTCCGCCTCTGCTCCTCGGGGCAGGAAGGCTCCCCGGAAGGGAGGCGCCGCTTCGGGTGTCCGGACGGAGGGTGGGGGGCCCCGGGCAGGGGCGCCACCCACCACGTTGCCCACCTTGTCTCCGCAGCGTGTTCCCGAGGGAGCTGAAGGAGGTCTTCGCCTCGTGGCGCCACGAGTGCAGCAACCGCGGGCGCCCCGACATCAGCGAGCGGCTCATCAGCGCCTCGCTCTTCCTGCGCTTCCTGTGCCCGGCCATCATGTCCCCGTCCCTCTTCCACCTGCTGCAGGAGTACCCCGACGACCGCACGGCCCGCACCCTGACCCTCATCGCCAAGGTCACGCAGAACCTGGCCAACTTCGCCAAGTAAAGCTCTCGCGCGCGGCCGCGTTGCCAGGGAGGGCTGCAGCTGCGGCTGCCCCACCACATCCCACCCGTGGGGAGCCGGGCGCATCCCCCGTCGGACCCACAGGGCTCTCGCTCTGCCGGCACAGGGATGCGGGGCTCTGCGGGCCCTAGGGGCCTGATCCTGGTGCCCTCTGCGGCTCTTTAGCTTCCAGGCAAATCTGCATCGCAATGAGGGCTAGGAACTTACTTCCTGCATTGAGGGCTGAAATGCCACAGTGGTGCACGGGACCTCTGCCAGCTGGCGATGCCGTCAGCTGGGGGGTCGAGGGGTGCCTTTAACGGCCTTTTGGGATGCGGGCCGGGAGCACCCCCACGGCCGTTCAAGGGGTGCGTTTGAGCAGAATTCCATGGGCAAGAACGTTTTGCATGGTGACTGTCTGGTTATGCTGGGAAGAATTCAGACTGTGCTGGGACTGGGAGCACATCCCCCAGCTTAGCTTGGGGTCTTCTCCTTTTCCCCTACCCAAACCCACCCAGACTATCTCCCCCTCCCGCCCCCCATGCCCCAAACACACACCCAAGCTCACAGATTTGGACCTTTCGAGCCTCTGGCAGCCAGAATCCGTTCCAAAAACAGCTGCTCTGTCCATGTTTCAGACCCAGCCCAGAAATATGGGCAACACAGTGGCTGGGGGGGGGGGGGCATCTCGCGGGCCGTTGCTGCCAAGCGCTGAGCTGCTTATTCTCAAATTTAATAAATAAAGAGCGGCGGCTCTCGGAGCTGCAGCTGAGCGCGTCCTCAGACGCGGCTTCCCGGAGATGTGCCGCCGTGGCATGTGCCTTGACCGGCCAGCCCCACCCGCTCCTCTGCGGGCCCCCCGGAGCAGCTGGCCGGGCCCACGTGAGCCCGGTGCGGACAGGAGGCGTGTGGATGGGGAGCCCGGTGTGGGTCTTCCACCGGAACCTGGGTCACGTCAGTCCTGACACGCTCCCCCCCACTCCCCAGCCCAGCCGTCCTGGCCTTTCTGCCCCCCCTTCCCGCAGCATCTGCCCCACAGCCATGCGAGGATTCTCCGCCCCGTTCTTCTCCTCGGCTCCAGCTCCCCGCGTGGCCCGGTCTTGTGCTGCCTCCGCGCTTCTCCACACCTTCCTGCCAGCGGTGCAGAGATGCTCCCGCCCCGGGGGCCGAGCAGACCTCTCCCCACTGCCACCCCGGCCACGGCCCGGGTGTGGAGCCGGCACCGCAGGGCAGCCGGACCGGCTGGGCACACAAGCCCCCTGCTCCGACCCCCGCAGCCTCCCTAGGCAGGGCTGAGAAGGGGCCCCGCCTGAGGCCCCGGAAAAGGCCTGCTGCGGCCGGCCAGGGCTGCCTATGCTGGGCCGGGGGGACCGGCCATGACGGCTGCAGCAGCCGGCAGGCGCAAGGGTCCGGCGCCCAGCACCCCGCTCTGCGAGCGAGACCACCGTCAGACGCGCCCAGGTGCCAGCTCGAGCGGCGCCGGCAGGGGGGCCGGGGACGTGTGCAGGGGCTGCGGTCTCCAGCCCGCGTGGGGAGTGCTGCCCATGTCCCCCCTTCCCACAGGGGCCTTAGGGTGCCTCCGCAGGCCGGCAGCCGAGGGGGCCCGCAACGGCCCCCTCTCACGGGGGCCCCTGAGGCCGGCCTTCCCGGCCACGGGGGCTGTGAAGGCAGCCGCCCCACGGCCCAGCCGCTCGCGCGCCCGGTGCCGTCCTGCGGGGTTTCTCCAGGACTCGCCCGCTTGTCGCTCCAGGTTCGGCAGCAAAGAGGAGTACATGTCGTTCATGAACCAGTTCCTGGAGCACGAATGGACGAACATGCAGCGCTTCCTCCTGGAGATCTCCAACCCGGAGACGCTGTCCAACACGGCCGGCTTCGAAGGCTACATCGACCTGGGCCGGGAGCTGTCGACCCTGCAGTCCCTGCTGTGGGAGGCCATCGCGCAGCTGGACCAGGTGACGCTCGGGCGCGGGGGGCCTGCCTCGCGTCCCAGGTGCCCCGTAGATTTCAGGAGCAAATGGTTTCGTGCGCCACAAGCCAGAAGCCCCACTAGGACCTGGAAGCAGAAGGAGTGAAGTATTCAACTTCCTGGCTGGGCATTCACAGCTGAGGTGCCACAGCCATGCAGGCCCTGCCATGTGTGGACGATGGGTTCCACTGCAACGAGGGCGATTTTGAAAAAGCCCCCCTTGAGTGGCTTCTCCTGCACAGCTCAACATTTCTGCCCATTCTACACACATTCCAACTGTCGAAATCATGCCAGGACACCTCGTTTCACTAACCCTAACCCTAACCTGGGGCACACCCCTAACCCTGAAATAGGGATCAAGTTCCATTGAAAACAATGCGATTTTTTTAAAGCCTTCCTTGAGAGGGTTTTTCGGCACAGCTCAGCATTTCTGCCCATTCTAAGCGCATTCCAACCATCAGATCCATACCAGGACACCTTGTTTCTCTAACCCTAACCCTAACCTGGGCACACCCCTAATCCTAAAATAGGGATCAAGTTCCATTGAAATCAATGCGATTTTTTAAAAGCCTCCTTTGAGAGGGTTTTTCGGCACAGCTCAACCTTTCTGCCCATTCTAAGCGCATTCCAACCATCAGATCCATGCCAGGACACCTCGTTTTTCTAACCCGAACCCTAAGCTGGGGCACACCCCTAACCCTAAAATAGGGATCAAGTTCCACTGAAGATAATGCGATTTTTTAAAAGCCTACTTTGAGAGGCTTTTTCGGCACAGCTCAACATTTCTGCCCATTCTAAGCGTATTCCAACCATCAGATCCATGCCAGGACACCTCATTTCTCTAACCCTAACCCTAACCTGGGGCACACCCCTAACCCTAAAATAGGGATCAAGTTCCATTGAAAACAATGCGATTTTTTCAAAGCCTTCCTTGAGAGGGTTTTTTGGCGCTGCTCAACATTTCTGCCCATTCTAAGCGCATTCCAACCATCAAACCCATGCCAGGACACCTCGTTTTTCTAACCCTAACCCTAACCTGGGGCACACCCCTAACCCTGAAATAGGGATCAAGTTCCATTGAAAACAATGCGATTTTTTTAAAGCCTTCCTTGAGACGGTTTTTCGGCGCAGCTCAACATTTCTGCCCATTCTAAACGCATTGCAACCATCAGATCCATGCCAGGACACCTCGTTTTTCTAACCCTAACCCTAACCTGGGGCACACCCCTAACCCTAAATTAGGGATAAAGTCCCATTGAAAACAATGCGATTTTTTTGAAGTCTTCCTTGAGAGGGTTTTTCGGCACAGCTCAATATTTCTGCCCATTCTAAACACTTTCCAACCATCAAATCCATGCCAGGACACCTCATTTTCCTAACCCTAACCCTACCCTGGTGCACACCCCTAACCCTAACAGAGGTGTAAAGTTCCATTGAAAATAGGGCAATTTTGAGAAAGCCCTCCTTGAGTAGCTTTTTCTGCACAGCTCATCCTTTCTGCCCCGTCTAAACACAATCCAACCATCAAAATCATGCCAGGACCCCTCGTTTTCCTAACCCTATCTTCTGACGAGTTGCAACTCGTGACATCATTGCGTGGCGCCGCCACTCCTTTCGAGCATGCGCTTGGCCCCATGCGCGCCTTTATCCGGTGCTCGGCTGCTGGGGCGACTTACCGTGCCCTCGGCTCATCACCACTGAACTCGATTATGCAACAAGAGGGCTTGGTGAGCAGCGGGGGGCAGTGCTCCCTCTCGGGGGCAGATCGGGACGGGTCGGAGGGCCACTTGGGGCTTCAACAGGCTCCGCTTTGAAAGCAGCGGCGCCACACGCCCTCGCTGGGGGAGATATTTGACTCAAGTGCCGGGAGCGTCCCAGGTGCCTCTCCTGCCTGAGCCCCACACGCTGCGAAATGCGCAGACGGTGACAGGGCGCGCCTGCTCTCCTTGCAGAGCACCGCCACGAAACTGGGGCCGCTGCCGCGCATCCTGCGGGACGTCAACACCGCCCTCAGCAACCCGGCCTGCATGCAGGTGACCGTCCCCACGGATCACGCCGCCTCGACCCCGACGGCCGGCAACAGCATCTCCATGGGACTGCAGAAGATGGTGATCGATAGCGACCTATCTGGGTAAGCGAGGGCGACCGGGGCTGGCGTGGGGAGGGGCTCCCGCAGGGGCGCTGGTGGAGGGGGTCTCGGAGGGCAGGGGGCCACCCCTCCCAGGGGGCTCTGCTTCCAGGCAACTCGCTGGGTGCAGATTTGGGGTCAGGATGCGAAACCAAGATGACCCACGTCCATGGAAAGGTTCCCCAGGCGGGAGAGGGAGAGATTCTAAACAGAAGCCCCGTGTTCTATAGCCATTTAATTAAGAGGGAGAGAGGAGGCATGGACCAGAACCGGGACAGGCACTTAATCGGGGATTTTGTCTTCCCCGGCAGGGGGTTGGCACGCCAACACAGTGTGCAGAGGCAGATTTCTGCCCCACCTGGCGACCCGGCCTTACAGGGCCTCGCCGGCTTTGATCTGGGGCCGAAGAGCACCAGCGGCCGTGCAAGCGCCCCCTTCCGTTTTTCCTTCGTGGGAAATCGGTCGCTGGCCCGCTCGGCGGCTCGCAGCGGGCAGCAGGGGCTCTCCTCGCAGCGGCGAGATCTGAGCAGGACTGCTGGGCGAGGTCCCCGTGTGGCAGCCCGAGGGGCCCGGCAGCCCTCGCCCTTCGGACGTGCCGCGCCATGGCTCCCACCGGCCCCCCAGTGCCCTGCGCCTGGAGAGCCGCTCGGGAGACGAGCCCAGTCGGAGTGGGAAAGGGGCACGCTGCCCGGGGAGAGGGCTCCGACACGGGCCCCGGAGTTGCGTCACGCATGCATCCCGCTGGCCCCGAGGGGGCTGCCCGTGGCCGCCGTCAGTCCTGAGGCCCGAGGGAGGCGCGCCGGCCCAAGCGGCCGGCGGGCGTTCCGGCTGGCCAGGCAGGGCAGGGGGCAGACTGGCGGGATGGGCTGCGGAGAGGCCGGGAGGGGCGCACGTCGAGGCTGGGGGTAGTGAGGTGCACTCTGCACGTGGCTCAAGGGGGCGGATTGGCTGAGATACCCTCCGGGAGGGGGGCCGGGGGCGCTGCATGCTCGCTCGCTCGCTCTCCTGGGACTGGGGCGGCCGCCTCCGCGCGGTGCTCACGGTTCTCTCCTTTTCTCTTCTCCTTCCTCTTCCTCTTCCCCTTATGCATTTTATTTCCCCCACAGTCCGATAGATTTCACACGGTTACCGTCTCCAACCCCTGAAAACAAGGACTTGTTTTTTGTCACAAGGTCCGCCGGGGCCGCCCAGCCCTCGCCCGCCCGGAGCTCCAGCTACTCGGAGGCCAATGAGCCCGACACCCAGATGTCCAACGGCGGCAAGAGCCTCTCCATGGTGGACTTGCAGGACAGCCGGGCCCTGGACGCGGGCGCCCCGGGCGCGGGGCCGGCCGAAGCCCTGCACGAGGGCCCGCCGGCCGCCGGGCCGCTGGCGGGCGCCTGGGGCCCGCGGACCCAGCAGAACCACCTGGCTGCCACGGTGCGCCGGGCCGCCCAGACGCCGACCACCCCCGGTGCCGAGAGCGCCCCCGGGCGGCCCCAGCTGCTGGCCCCGCTCTCCTTCCAGAACCCCGTCTACCAGATGGCGGCCGGCCTGCCCCTCTCGCCGCGCGGGCTGGCCGACTCGGGCTCCGAGTGCCACAGCTCGCTCAGCTCCCACAGCAACAGCGAGGAGCCGGCGGCCGCCGCCCGGCACGGCCTGGGCATGGGCAACCCCGCCACGGCCCCCGAGGACTTCGGCCGGCGGGCGGGCGAGCTGGCCCGCCGGCAGCTCTCCCTGAGCGACAAGGCCGGCCAGCCCACGATGCCGCGGCAGAACAGCGGCGGCCCCCAGCGCCGGATAGACCAGCCCCCGCCGCCCCCGCCGCCCCCGCCCGTCTCCCGGGGCCGGACTCCCCCCTCGCTGCTCAGCACCATGCAGTACCCGCGGCCCTCCAGCGGGGGCGTGCTCTCCTCCTCGCCCGACTGGCCCGGCAGCGGCGCCCGGCTGCGCCAGCAGCCCTCCTCCAAGGGCGACAGTCCCGAGATGAAGCAGCGCACCCTGCACAAGCAGGTGAGTGGCCGGCCGGCCGTGTGCCGCGGGCCGGCGGGGGCGAGGCCCGGCGGCCCGGGAGCCCCGTTCCCTCCCCTTCGCCCGCAGCTGCCGCTTGGCCCGTGTCGTGTGCTCGCTGCCCGCCCGCCCGCCCATCCCACACTCCGCCAGATCCGGCGCCGCCTCAGGGACCCGCACCCCATCCTGCCGCCCGTGCCGGGGCCTTGAGCCAGCCGCCTCCGGCCTGGCGCCCTCCGGGATCCTGGGTCGGGGCCCAGGAGAGGCGTTCCAGCCCAGGAGCTCGGCGGGCACCCGCTCGGGGGAGCCTGCCTCGGCCGGCTTGCTTCGTTCCGGGACGGATGGAGAGAGGGCCCTTTTCTCACGCACAGGGAAACCGCCGGAGCCGGGCATGCCTGGGGGGCCACGCTGCTGAGCCGCCTGCCGTGTGCCAGCTCCGGTTCCAGCACGCAGGACGCTCCTGGGCCGTTTCTCTGGTCCGTCCCTCGCCTTTCCCCCGCGTCAGCCGCCGGGTTCGTGCCGCCGGGGTGGGAAGGAGTCATGGCAGCGTCTTTTCCTGCCTTGTGTGCCGGCCACAACCCACGCCGTGTCCGTCACCGCCCGGGACGCCCAAACAGCATCCGTGGGGTGGATTCTGACACACCTGGGGGCTTGACCACCCACCCCAGTGAGGGGGTTGCCATCCAGCCCACATCCAGCTAGAGAATAAACTGCTATGCCCCCCCCCCCCATCATGGGAGCCCTCCCCGCAGGGCTGAGCCAAAAGACAAAAGGAACGGCGCTGAAGGGGGATGCGACTCGGGGGCTTGGCGTGGGCGGATGCCTCTATTTTCGGAGGTCTTGCAGCCCCAGCAAAAGTGACGCCTAATGGGGGTCCCCCGATTTGAGGGCATTCGGGCAGCTGACCAGAAGCCGCCTGGGAAAGCCCCAGGACTGCGCACCTCAGGGCACTAATGCAGTTTTGGGGGGCAACAGAACCACAGCAGCAGACGGTTGCTGCTCCCCGTGCCGTGCACCCCCCCAGCACCTCCTCCGAAAGCATTGCCCCCCCCAACTGAGAAATGGCGCATGCCCTGCCTGCAGGTGGGGTCTCGGGTTCGACGGGGCGCTGCACAGGGCCCGCTGGGGCCGCAGCTGGCGCAGGGCTGGGCCCAGGCTGCCTCTCAGGCTGCTGGGAGAGCGTGGACAGGGCGGGGTGCCTTCCTCACGCTCCCCCCGTTTTCTGGCGGTCTGAAATCCAGCCTCTGCATTCCCGGGCCCCTGCACGGACTTCCGGCAGCCCTGGAGAGGGTCACGAGGCCTTCCTTCCGGTTCCACTTCTGGGGAAAGCGGGGAGCCCCCCGGGCGTGGGGCAGGAGGCCAGGGGCAAGCTCAGAACGGAGGCCCTCCCCAGCAGCCGGCCACGGGGCACTAGGGGTGCGTGATCTCTCACTCTCGCTCTTGCTTCACGCCCGCTTTGGCTCCCGCTTTTTCTCCCTTCCCCTGTTCCCCCCGACCCGCTCTGGTGACATGTTTCGTTCTAGGCCCCTTCTCCTGCGAACCCCAATGCCCTCGACCGCACGGCCGCTTGGCTTTTGAATATGAACGTGCAGTTCCTAGAAGAGGAGACCAGTGACCCAGAGCACAAGCACAGGGATAAGATCCGGAGCAAAGACGAGTTCGGCCAAGGGGAGAAGGTAACGCCGGGTGGGCTGCGAAGGTGGGGTCGCCCAAGAGAGGGGCTGCCGCTCCGGCCGGGATGGCGGCGACGCTGCCGAGGACCAGCGCTGGCAACGTGCGCCCCCCGCCCCTTCCCAAGCCCAGGCAGAGCACGGCAGAATGGCTCCAGAGGGGCCTCCGCTCGGCCGGCCCAGGCCAGCCTCGCCCGCCGTGTGTCCCCAGAGGGGCCGGATTTTGACGCCGGCCGCCCCGGCCCTCCGGCACCCCCGGCCCAGCCCCTCTGCCGATGCCCGAGGGGCGTGGAAGAGCTGCGCTCCCGGAGGACCGGGCCGCGAGCTGCATTTCCGAGAGCGGAGGGCGCCCCGTGGCCCCAGCCGTGGCCCGGCCCTTCCCCTCCGTGGACACGGCCTCCTCCTCCGCCGGCCCTCGTGGGCACGACCCGCCCCCCTCGTGGGCTTGCTGTGTGTAGATGCGGCCAGTCGCCGAGCGGGACGGGAAGGCGCCGCTCGCCCACGGCTGTGCCACCATGGCCACGGCCCCCCACCCTGCCCCTGCCTCCCCTGCCGGCCCCCCCCCCGCCTGTGCTCGCCGCTCGGCCTCGCCGCCTGCCCGGCTCCCGCGCAGAGGGGAGAGTCGCGTGCGCACACGGGCCCTTCCCTGCCGGGCTGCCCTGCTGCCCGCCCTCCCGAAGCCGCTGTGCCGGAGGGCCCCCGCCTGCCCGCGAGAGCCGTGCGGACGGGCGCCCCGAGCTCGCTTGTGCTGTCTTTGTGTGTTCGCAGTGCCTTGTCTGTGCGCACGCCTGCAAGGGCCGCGGGAGCCGGAGGAGAAGAGAAAGGCACGGACGGCGCTACTGGGGGCGGGGGGGGCGGGCGCCTGCGGGGGGGGTCCCCGGGCAGCCCCGCCCCTTCCCGTGCCCACGCCCCCTTCCCCGCCCAGCCCGCTCTCGGCAGCCTGCTCCCCTCCCGGGGCTTCACCCGCCGCCGGACTGGGGCCTCCGGAGCAGCTCCGGCTCCAAATTCAGCCCCTGGGTTCAGAGAGACTCCACAGGCCGGAAGCCCAGTGGCGCCAAGGGCACAAGGACTGGGCACGGGGCCCCCCGATCCACGGGGTGCAATCGGCCCCCCGAGCCTTTGCAGCCCCTCGCCTGCTCTCTCGGCGGCTCTCCTTCCCCCTCGGTGCCCAAGTTTTCCGGGCCTGCAGTGGGAGGAAGCCCTTGGGATACGGCGGGATCTGCTCGCGTGGCTTCTGCGTCCGCCCCGAGCAAAGGGGCGCTTCGGCAGAGAGGGAGTGAGCGACAGGTGCCCTCCCCGGGGTGAACGGCCACAAAATGGCTGCCGTCTGGGGGGACGGGCCGCACCCCCGGCTGCGTGTTCCCCACCCCTTTGAAGGATGGGCCGGCCCCGCCCTTCCCAAAAATGGGAACGTGCAGGGCTGCAGTCCCGTGGGCACAAAGCGTCCCCGGACCGGGACTTTGCCGCCGGTTCAGTCTGCGCGGTGTCCCGTCTTCGCGGTAGCCTCCGGCTCGACGCAGCACCCCTGCGGTGCGCCTTCCTGCACCCCCACACGAGCTGGATGTGGGCGCATCGCGGGAGGGCCCAGGCAGAGCGCGCACGGACGCCTTCCTCCCCGTGCCCCTCGGCGGCCGGCCCAGCTCCCCCCCCGCCGGGGCGCTCGTGGCTCCAGCACCGGCCCAAGGGGAAGGCCGGCGGGACAGGGGCTTCCGGCAGCTGATCCGGGTGGGCGGGCCGCCGCGCCAGGCACGGGGCGGTGCGGAGCGAGGGGCAGCGGGCGGGCAGCCCACCCTGATGCCGCCTCTGCTTCTGCCCCCCCACCAGCAGTACCAGCAGGACGTGGTGGTCCTGCAGGACAAGCTGCGCATCTCCAACAAGAAGCTGGAGGAGTACGAGGCCCGCTTCAAGTGCCAGGAGGAGTCCACCCAGAAGCTGGTGCTGGAGTACCAGGCCCGGCTGGAGGAGAGCGAGGAGCGTCTGCGGCGTCAGCAGGAGGACAAGGAGCTCCAGATGAAGGGCATCATCAGCAGGTGGGCGAGCGCGGCCCTCGCACCGGGTCCCTGCTGCGCCGGCACCCCGGCCAGCCCTGCCCACGCTCCTGGTCCCCTGGCCCAGGCGAAGGCGGCCGGAAGGCCCGGCGGGGTGCGCTCGGGATGCGGCCCACAGTGCTGGCCGTTCCCCAAACGAGGGGAAGGGAAGGGCGGGATCCACGCAGAGCTAGAAAATGGGCAGCCGGGCAGAAAACCGGATGGTCGGTCGGTCGGCCCGTTGGGGGCACACAGTATGACGGGCCGAACGGTGCGGCGTTTTCAAGTGAGGGAACTAAGATCGGGGGGACGGAGCTCCCACACACGTGGAGCTTTAACTGCCATCTTCCCCAGTCGCCTAGAGAGCGAGCGGTTCAAGAAAAAGACATGGAAGAGGTTTCTGATTTGAACACTGATGTAGAGTTGGCAAAAACAGGGGGGCGGAAGGCCTCGGAATGGTCCGGGGTGCCTAGAAACAGGCCCCCGCGACCCATCCCACACCAGGGCCTTCGACCGTGCGGTGGAGCCGGGGTTGGGGAAGGCGGGGAAAATTGCCCCATGGCTTCTAGTCCTCAAGGTCTCAGCGACTGGCAGGTCAGTGGAATGCTTTGAACTTGCAGGCTTCAGTTGTGCAAAGCCCATTTGGTGCTAGGAAACTCAGAGGAGACCCGGTGGCTTGTTGCCTGGTTTGTCTGTCGCACCGTGGCTGTCGCGGCGTCTGAAGCCAAGCCCAGGCTTCCGCTTCCGCCGTGTCCCCTGGAGGGAATGGCAAGCGCAGGGGCCACTCCATCGAGCCGGCCAGCTTGCCCCAGTATGTGGGCCATCTCCTGGGATACATACGGGGCAACCGTGGGAAGATGGCGCAGTGGGAAAGGGAACCTCCGTAAAGTAGAAATAACTTGCTTGCCGGGCCCATCGAGACAAAAGACTTGAGCCTTGGTGACCGTGCAGGTTGTCCTTGCGTGGGTTGGACACAGACCTCCTCCCACCATCCCAGAATGCAGCAGTTTTGTCCGGTGAAGCTGGGAGATTTTGGACAGATGATAGAAGCAGCTGCATGCTCAGGTTTTGCATTCCTGTCACAAGGTCTTTGAAAGCTTTGGGAAGGAGCTTTCCTCCACCATCCTTGCTATCAAGTCTTTAGCTCCGTGAAGTATTTCTCTCTTGCTGCTCAGCCCAAAGGTCTCACGGAGCGTCTTAGAAGCAGGAAAAGGGGTCGCTCCTGCTCCCGCCTTCCAGCCGAAAAGGACCAGGCACAAGGGTGGAAATGATGGGGAAGGAGGCGAGGAAAGCGGGGTGACCCCTGGCGTCAGAGGACGCTCCTGGCTCGCCCCGGGGAGCTGCAGCCGTCGTGCGGGGCGGGAGGCATCCGGCCGGACGTGTCCAGGTAGAGCACGGGCCCGAATCCACAGCTCGCCTGGCCCGTCAGCCTTCCAGAGGCCCCTCTGCTCCAGCGGCCCTCGCGCCCCCCGTGACGCCTGCCGCCCCTCCTTCGGGCGATTCCTGGCGCAGACCAGCGCTGTTCACAGCCTTCAAATTGAGCACCGAGGGAAAGCAGCAGAATGAGATTCAACAGGGACAAGAGCCAAGTCCTCCCCGCAGGAAAAGGAACCCAAAGGCATCGATACCGGATGGGGAGCACGTGGCTCAGCAGACCTGAGCAAGGAAAAGGCCTCGGAGTCGTTGGGGCCCACAGGCTAAGCAGGAGCCAGCCATGCGGCGCTGCCGCCAGGAGGGCGTGTGCTATTTTGGGATGTGTTAACAGAAGTGTTACTTCCAAATCACAAGGAGGAGGAGTTGCTCTGAGCTCCTCACTACTCAGCCCTCACCTGGGCTCCCGTGGCCAGTTCTGGGCACCAAGATTTAAGAAAGAGGCAGGTGAGTTGGGAAGGGCCAGAGGAGGGCAGCAAAATTGATCCAGGCTTCAGTGATCCAGAGGAGAGACTGAGGGAACTGGGCATGTTCAGCCTTGAGAAGAGAAGACTGAGGGGGACATGGCATCCCTCTAGAATAGGCTGCCACAAAGAGGAAGGCCAAGATCTCTCCTCGCTGATCCCAGAGTGCCGGTCATGGAATAGTCCATTCAAGCTGCGACAGCCCAGATCCAGGCTGGACATCAGGAGACGCTCCCTCACCGTTGGAGCAACACGACCGTGGGACCGGCTGCCTGGAGAGGCATTCAAGAAGGAACTGGGCAGTCATCTGAGTGGGATGGTGGAACATGGTGTCCTGCAACAGCAGGGGGTGGACTAGAGGGCCTTCATGGTCCCTTCCAACTCTCGTATTCTATGGTTCCTCCAATGAGTTGCTTCCAGCCTGCCTGGACTGCCTTCTCGGGGCCTGCGGGCCAACATAGGACACTCGGAAACTTAACCTTAACACTCGTGCTTGTTCCCCAAACAGGCTGATGTCCGTGGAGGAAGAGCTAAAGAAAGACCATGCGGAAATGCAGGCGGCCGTGGACTCCAAGCAGAAGATCATCGACGCACAGGTGGGTGGCCAGTTTGGGGCCACTCCGCCGGGCTGACCCTGGTCCCCCGGGCCAGGCTGCAGAGGAAGGGCAGCCCGGAGGGTGCAGCCGCCCGGCAGCCGGAGAGCGGCCAGCCGGCTGGGGAGGGCAGACGCACGCCGAGCAGCTCCGGGGACTCGCCTCGCCTCGCTTCTCCTCCGCTCGGCACTCCTCCGCGGCTCTGCGTCATTAGCGGGCAATCGGGGGAGCCGCTGGCCCAGGCAAAGACGCCGCTTGGCTGATTTGTTAATTAGTCTCTGGGCACTATTCAATATTGGAGAAATCAGGCAAGCCACCGGGAGATCTTAATCAGCCGCTGCAAAGCAGCGCCGGCCGCGGGGAGAAGGGCTGGAGCCGCCAGTGTGGCTGGAGCAGGGGTGTCCCGCCCTCCCAGGGCTGCCCCCACGGCGGCCCTCACAGGGGGAACAGGGGGGACTCTGCCACTGCCCCCGAAGTCCAGGGGGCCGAGTGCAGCCTCCAGGGCCGTGGGAGCAGCCTGCTGGTGGGCCCCCCAGGCAACCAGATGCTGGGCTAGGTAGCCCGTGGGACTCCTCCCGCAGCGGTGCGCTGTCATTTTGTCCGGGTTGCTTTGGACGGATGGGCGCAAGAACATCTTTTGGCTGTGGGGGGCATGCCAGTAGTGGGGGGGCAGGGCCGATATTCCCGAAACATGGCCATGTCGTGGCTGTGCCAGGACGGAGCCTTCGGAAGCCGCACGCGCCCCCTTGGAACTGGGAAGCCAGTGCGCGCCAGCTGGGGGGGGCGACCGAGTGGTGGAGGGGGGTGGGGAGGGGGCGTGGCCAGGCAAGGGGCGTGGCTAGCCCCGGAGAGCCCAGTGGGGCCCCAGAGGGCCGGGGCCGCGGTTCGGAGCCCCAGCGTGGTGCAGCCGGCAAGGGGCCGCCTTCCCCGCCCGCTCACACGCCCTCCCGTCCTCCCTGCAGGAAAAGCGCATCGCCTCCCTGGACGCGGCCAACGCCCGGCTCATGAGCGCCCTGACGCAGCTGAAAGAGAGGTACAGCGCACAGACCCGCAACGGCATCTCCCCCACGCACCCCACCAAATTGCAGATCACAGAGAACGGCGAATTCCGAAACAGCAGCAATTGCTAATCGGCCGCGAGGGGTTGCCGCCCGAGAGAGCGAGAGAGCGCACGCGCGCATGCACGCACGCACGCATTGCCGGGCCCTGGCGCTCCGCCTGGCCCCCCCCCCCCGAGCGGGCGTGGGGGAGAGGACCCACTGCCCCCTCCGGCAGAGGCAGCACGCGTGACCCGGAGCGCCGATGCCCAGTGCGCACGAGGGACGGGAGACCGAGGAGCCAGCCGACCGTGCGGAGCGGGGCCGGACGCTCCAGCCGCCGCCGAGAGAGACGGAGGCGCCCTTTCCTGCTCCGGCCACCCGAGGACGCACGGCGCCAGCCAGGAGGGCCCGGCTGAGGCCGGAACGGGCCCACGGACTTCCGCAGGACCTCCTCCCTCGCGCCCGGCAGCCGGGCCCCGCTGCCGCCCTGCCTCGCCACGCCGCGTTGGCGCTGTCGCTCAGCTCCGCCACCGCCTCGCGCATTGGCCCCTGCCGTGGCGCTCGCTCTGCCCGCTCTCGGCGGGGCTCCCGAGGGGCAGAGACTGCGACCGGCCGGGGCGCCCCCTCCTCTCGCCTCCAGGCGTGTCCCGCGCCCCGCGCTAGACACGTCCCTCTGTGCACACGGACTGGGAGACACGTTCATGCAGGAGGTCAGCCCCACGGCCGAGCCCCTCGCCAGCCGGGGCTCCGAACGGAAGCGCGCGCCCTGCAGTGGGGCGGAAAGGGACGCTCGAAGGCTTCGGCCACAGGCCACAGGGTGGCTGGCGGAACGTCTGCTCTGTGAGCAGAAGGCCCGGATCCGGTCTGCGCCTCCTCTGGGCAAGAGGAGCAGGAGGGAGCCAGCCGGCCCCCCGGGGGCTGCCAGAACTGCTGAGGCTGGCGGAGGCAGTGCTGCGCACCAGGCGGAGCAGCGGCTGGCCCCGGAGGGAGCCAATCCCGAGCTCTTCCGGCCACTGGGACGGCCTTCCCGCGCTGCAGGGAGGGGAGCGGCAGGCGCCCCCCGCCCCCAGGCACACCTCCTTGCGCGCCAGACCCCCCCACTGGGGGCTCCCATCGTTCCCGTGGGAGGTGGCATTCCGTCTCTGCATCCAGGGACAGAGCCACCGCTCCGCAGGCACCATGCCCGAAGGACGTTTGGGGCTGGGCAGAATGAGGGGCGGCAGCAGGCCCGTGCCACGAACCGTGAGGAGGCCACGGCGGCCACGTCTCCCGAGAGGCGGTGCTGGATGCCAGGAGGCCGGCGGGGGCTCTCCTGCCGCCGGCCCCGTAGCCGGAGGCCTTGCACGCTCGATGGCGGAGAGGCGCTGGGGCCAGGGCGGCAGCGCTTGGCCGGACCAGCCGCGGAGGGGGCACGTGGTCCCGCGCGAGCGGCCAAGGTCTGTGCTGCCGGCCAGGCGTGCGGCAGGCCGAGGCGGCTCCCCAGCGAGGCCGAGGGGCAGAGCGGAAGAGCCTGGCGGACACCAAGCCGGCAGAGCCGCAGGTGCGGCTGGAAACCCTCAGATCCAGAAGAGCGAGACCGCCGAAGCTCAGGCGTGCCAGAGGGGCTGCTCTGCAGGGCAGGGGCTGCGATCCGTGAGGGATCCGTTTCCCGCCCTGCCGGATGTGGGGAAAGCTCAGAGCCAGGAGTGCGCAGCGCGTAGAGGTCTGCCCGAGCGGAGTCGCGGGGACGGTGGGCCTCGCTGGACGCAGCTGGCCGTCAGACGCACGTGGATCCCCGTCCGATCTCGGGGCGGGAAGGGAGCCACGGGTGGTCCCACCTTCGCGATGAAGCTGAGCACAAGGCGCTGCCCTGCGCCTGGCTCTCCATGCCCCTCGCCGAGCGCCCTTCCTCCGGCTGGCTCGGCCCTGAGGTGGGGGCACTGGAAGCGGCCCGCCTCGCCCGCCCCGCAAGTGTGCAGCGCGCGCGCACATGGGCACGCACGGTCCTGGCGCAGGGTGGCTTTCTGGTGGCCCGCTAGCAGAGCTGGTGGTGTGGGAGTGGCTGCCGCCTGCGGCCTTGCAAGGAGAGGCGGACGAGCGAGGAAATGATCGGCTCTCCCACGGAAGCATGAAGATCGGTAACTCCTATCTCTTTTCTTTCACAGTATGCGATAGGAATAAAAACAGTGCAAACCCCAAAGCAGTCCACTTTCTGGAATACTCTGCTCTTTTAATTGGGAGTGGGCAGTTAACCGCCTCGAAGGCCGCGGAAGGGACTAACCGACAAGGACGGCAGCTTCTGCAAGCTCTCCCCGATCAGAGTGGCCGGGCGGCGGTCACCCGGGAATAGCCATTCCTGCCCGGGCCCCCCGCGGCCCCCCGCAAAGGGGCGCGCGGCAGGCAGGGGGGCCGCGCTACTAACCTCCGGCTTGTGGGTTGATGCTGCGTCTGTGTAAAACAAAAGAAATCGCCCCCGATTATCCCCCCGCGGCCCCGACCGTCGGCCGGCGCAGGAGCCGGGGCGAGTCAGGTGTAGGGGCCAGCCGTTCGCCCCCGAGAGACGCGGTGCGGCCGAGGAGAGACGCACGGGAAGAACAGACGTCCTCGGCTCCCAGCCCACCGCCGCTTTCCCCAGAGCTGCCCGGCACTAGCCCAGCCCGGCAGCTGTACGTAGGCCAGTGCAATCTCTCCCGAGCGGTGGACCGTTCCGAGAACGAACTTTCTCTCTCAAACCTAGCGCTCCGCCTTGCGTGCCACCATCCCAGACGGGACCGCGGCTCCCGGACAAGCGTGTTCCTCCACCATCCCCAATCTCTCCACGGGGCGAAGGAACGGCAGGCGCGTTAAATGCATCGTCAGCCTGAACTGCTCAGAGTTCCCCTTCCGGAAACGTTTCCTGCCCTGCAGACACGGGTCCCCGAGGCAGACCCTCACGCCCCCCGTAGGATGGCGTGTCTGGAAGAGGGGGTCAGACTAGCCCGGCCGAGTTTGCACCCCAGAATGACAGCCAGGGACACGAGCGCTGCATTAGGTGCCCCAAGAGATCCGGTGTAGACGGTTAGTGCGTGGGCCGTAGGCGGCAGCTGAGTCAGACAATTTGGCCGCGGGCCGCCTGGCCTCTGTTCCCCGGCGGGTAATCCGGGGTGTTGTACCTCTGCTTGCAGCCTGCTCCCGTTGCCCTGGGGGTCTGCGGTGGGTGGGCTTCCGTGGACCCCCTCTTGGCGAGGAAGTCGTGCTGCACAAGTGCCCTGGTGCCCAATCCTTCCGTCGCACAAATTCAGCCCCTGGCGGCCTCCCCAGGGAGCAAAGGTGCCCCATGCTGCTCTGGGATCCTCCCTTGGCCCCATTCTCCCTCCTGGGGACATCGGTCGGTTGCCAAGTTCAGTGGAACCGCCAGTTCCTGCAGCCAAGAAGCGTTTCTGCAGCCGCACTGCAGATGTGAGGATCGAGGGGGGCCCTAGCGAGCGACCCCAAGTTCCACCCGAGTGCTTGCCAGCTTTCGGGGTCTAGCAGGTCCCTTGGGCCCACTTCCTTCGCTCGCTCCTTCCTTCTGTTGTTTTTAGAGCTGTGCTGCAGGCCCCAACCTCCCGGCCGGCGTTGGCTCTCCCGGCCATCTCCCATGCCGGCCTCGCAGGAGGGGAGCTGCAGAAACCCCCTTCCTCCTTCCATGCCGCGTTTCCGGCCACAGAAACTTGTCACCCAACACCAACCGCCTGTAAGACTTTTCAAGCACTAGTAATACAGAGGTCTTGACGAATTCGACTCGTGCAGGTTCTCTTTTGTAAAACGAGCAAAGCCATTCTTGCGTGTGTGATTGTAATGTGCCATTCGCCGCCTGACGACTAACTGTACCGAGCAATTTCGGCTGATACTTTAAATGCAGTGTTGCTACCGTGCGGTGGGGAAAGGGGCGCGCCGCTGATCAAGCCCGAAGTCTGGTTGCTTCTTTCAGGGCTGGTGGAGCCTGTTCCGGATTTCGCCATCCGTGGTTGACTTTGGAATTAGCCCATACTGAGCAAAGGCTGAGTGAGGAATTGGCAGGAAGTCCGAACCGCAACAGGGCATCCGATAGCCAGGCCAGGCAGGTCGCGCTGGGACTGTGGAGGGTCTGGAGAGGGTCCGGCGCCCTCTGCACAGGGCAGCGAAGGGGTGTGTGCAGTGCCCACCCACACTTGGCGTGTGCGACGGCCTCGCTTGCGCGGCAGTGGCGGTGCCCACAGTGTCTCGTGCTCCCCACCCTGCTGTGGTTCCCTGTGGGTCGGCAGCAATGCCTGGAGCCCCCCCCCCCCGCAGCCAGCTCCCACGCCACACGCCCTTCATGGCCTCACCGGGGGCCGCGCTTCCCCAGTTCCCAAACGCGCACGGCACGTGCTCCTGGGCTCTTTAATTTTAATCTTCCAGGGCCTCGGTCAGCTTTTGGAAGCCTCATGTCCGACGTGGGGGACGAGCCAGTCCTGTGTGGGGGCCCCTGGCAGGGCCCCTCTGACGGCGAGGCTGCCTGCGGGGGAGTTGGCACCCATCGCACGGCCCGGGGGCCCGTCGGCACACTGACCATGTTCACACGTCCCCCAGAAGCAGGTAGGCAGGACCTGATGTGGCTTTAGGCGCTGCCTGGTGGTACCTCTCTGGCTATTCCGGAAAGGAGAGCTCAGCTCCCCTCCCCTGCTTTTTTGCGGCTCCTTCTCGGAGCAGTTGCAGCTGCGGACCCCTGGCGGTGTGTAGGGCATGTTTTCTTCAGCCGTGTGCAGAAACTCAAAGGCCGGGGAGCCGCGAAGGTGAGGCGGGCACACCTGCTCCTGCCCCGCCTTTGCACAGGTGAGAGCTGCTCGCGTCTTGTCCAGAGGCTGTTCAGCACTGCCCGGGACCCTCTGCAGAGCCTGGGCGCACGGAGGTGTCGGTGGGAAGCCGAATCGAGAGGCTGGCCTTGGCAGGGGGGAAGGGTGCCCCACGCGGCTTCCGGGGCCTCTGCTTTGGCCCCCTCGGCGGTGCCCTTCCCTGGCGGCCAGGGCCTGGGTCCCGGGCCACCTCCCCCAAAGCAGCAGCCGCCCTTTGCCTCTCGGCTGCCGCCCGCCGGTCCTTTCCGCATCTCGTTGAAGCACTTGTTCTGCAAGTGCCCTGGAGGAAGCCTGGCAAAAAAAA